GCTAAGCCGCCGCGGGGAGCGAGCTAATGCGGAGGCACCGCCCGCCGGCGGCTGGGGGTTGAGCGTTGACCTATGAACCTGGAGGTCAGGGTTCGATTCCGCTCAGAGCACAGGCCCGGGTGGTGGGCTCATCCCCAGCAGGGGGCGTGCAGGGGGCAGCCGATCCATGATTCTCCTTGGTGTTTCTATCTCTCACTCCCTCTCCCTTCCTCTCTGAAATCAATAAAAAAAATATATATATATATATTTAAAAAAGACAGAGGCACGGTCATTCCGTAGATGCCGTTGGACACACTGCTCTGGGCAGAGTGCCCCATTGCCATCTCCTTCCACCTTTCCCTTCCCGAGGGGGCGGTGGCCACGTGCAGCCTGTCCCCAGGTTGGCCGAGTGGCCCCTGCGGGAAGCGATCATGTCCTCAGTGGCCGAGCCCCCGCCAAGGAAGCCGGGGACGGCTGCCCAGGGCCAGGCCTGTGTTCACGGTGCCCCGGTGAGGAAGCCCTGGTCAAACCAGGCTTTGGGAAGGACACGCATCAGGGCTCTCCCCTGGTCTTCCTCCCATCACGCCTGCCTCCTCGCTATTTCTCGCTGTCTTTCCCTCTCTCACACTCGGCCAGGCCTTCGTGGAGGCCAGAGGTCATGCCCTGGGACTCAGCATTCCGAGTTTCATCCTAGTTTCTGATCTTATTTCTGTACACACGTGGAGGAAATTGACAGATGGTGACCTGGGTGCCCTTGTGGGGAGCAGATATGAGTCTCATAGAGCAGGAGGCCGGTGCAGGGGGCTTATTAGAATTCAGATCCGGCATCTAACAGGGAAATGGCTCTGGGGCATGTCCTGTTGGCAGGTTTGGACAGCAAGCTCTCTGCTGCCTTTCACCTAGGAGAGCTGGAGTCATTCTATGGCAAGACCCAGATTAAAGCAACCTGTCGAGTGAGGGCATTGTGAAACATGAAGTCTAGTGTTTACTCACCCCTGACCAGGGAGGCTCAGTTGGTTGGAGCATCCGGGCCTGTGCACCAGAGGGCTGTGGGTTCAATTCCTGGCCAGGGCACAACGCCCAGGTTGCAGGGTTGATCCCGAGGGGAGCACGTTCAGGAGCCAACCAATCGGTGTTTCTCTCATTGGTGAAAAAATTGTCTGGCCCCTCTTCCTACTTAAAAAAAAAAAAGTTTCAGGTATACAGCACCATAATCCAACATCTGTATGCACTACAAAGTGATCACCCCAAAGTCTAATTACTACCCATCACCATGCAGGTAACTCCCTTTAGCCCACTGCACCACCTCCCCCTTCCCTCTGGTAACCACCAATCTGTTCTGTGTATCTATGAGTTTTTTGTGTTTATTTTTTTATTTTATTTTTTATACTAGAAGCCCATTGCACAAAGATTCGCGCAATAGGCCTTCCTTCCCCTGGCTGCTGGCATCGGTTTTCCTCCGGCACCCAGGACCCAGGCCTTTGGTCGGCCGCAGTGGAGAAGCCAAGCCTCGAGGCTAGGCTTTTCCCCTCTGGCCACAGCGAGGCTTGGCTTCTCCACTGCAACTGCAGTCTTCAGTCTTCACTCTGGCCAGAGCCTTTGGTCTTCGCTCCACGCCTGCATATGCAAATTAACCGCCAGCTTTGTTGGGTTAATTTGCATAGTCACTCTGATTGGCTGGTGGGTGTAGCGGAGTGACACCAATTTGCATGTTTCTCTTTTATTAGTGTAGATATCTTTATTGATTTCAGAGAGGGAGAGAGAAAGAGAGAAACATCCATGATGAGAGAGAATCATTGATTGGCCACCTCCTGCACGTCCCCTACTGGGGATCGAACCCGCAACCCGGGCATGTGCCCTTGGCCAGAATCGAACCTGGGACCCTTCAGTCCACAGGCCCATGCTCTATCCACTGGGCTGTTTTGTTTATTTTTTTATTTTGTTGTGTTTTCTTGTCTGTCGTGTTCTATGTTCCTGAGGTGAACAAAAGGTAGCATTTTAATTATTTACATTATCTGGGTGGACCTAAAGCACGGGCTCTTTATCTATTTTTTAATATATTTTATTGATTTCAGAGAGGAAGGGAGAGGGAGAGAATAGAAACATCATTGATGAGAGAAAATCATTGATCGGCTGCCTCCTGCATGCCCCCCACTGGGGATGGAGTCCACAACCCAGGCCTTGACTGGAGTCAAACCTGGGACCTTTCAGTCTGCAGGCCGACACTCTAGCCACTGAGCCAAACTGGCTAGTACTTCTATTATATTTTTTTTTACCACATCTTATTTATCCATTCATCCACAGATGTGCACTTGGGTCACACAGTATCAGTACCACTACATTCTATTTGATAGAAGTGAATCACTAAATCTGTCCCACATTCAAGGGGAGGAGGAATTAGGATTTATCTTTTGAAGGGAAGAGTATTAAAGATTAGTGGACATAATTGGAAACCGTTAACGTAAGGATGGGTGAGGACCTGGCCTGGGAGAAGCCTCAGACAGAGAGGGGGAAATAATATAGGATTCTGGAAGCATCTTGAAGGACTACTCCAACAGACTTGGTACTCACGTGGTAAGAGCAAGAAGAGCAACAGTAAGCCCTGGCCGGTTTGGCTCAGTGGATAGAGCGTCGGCCTGCGGACTGAAGGGTCCCGGGTTCAATTCCAGTCAATGGTACCTGCCTGGGTTGTGGGCTCAGTCCCCAGTAGGGGCTATGCAGGAGGCAGCCGATCCATGATTCTCTCTCATCACTGATGTTTCTATCTCTCTCTCCCTCTCCCTTCGTCTTTGAAATCAATAAAAATTTATTATAAAAAAAAAGGAAAAAGGAAGAAGAGCAACAAGAAAGCAACAAGAAGTAGTCTGAGGTTTCAAATCCTGAGAAAGAGGTAGTTAGGCGGCTCTGGCACAAATGGGACATTCATCAGGAGGGTGGGATTCTGGAGGTGGTTTGAGTAGGGAGAGCTTCTCCAGGCAAATGGAAACGTAGCCCTAAAGGTGGGAGAGCATCTGGAAACCGCAGTGACATCATCACTGAGCAGAAGCTGAAGCCCTGGAATCTGAGCTTTCTTTTCTTTTCTTTTCTCTTCTTTTGGAATCTGAGTTTTCTGAAAGGAATTGTGGGCCAGATGAGGAGGGTGCTAAGCCTTGGAGAATGCCTGGAGTGGAAAAGGAGACAAAGGAGGAAGTACTAAGACGGGAGTGTAAAGAGAGAGCGACAGTTGAGCATTGGGTACACCAAAAGGTCAAGCAGAATGAGGACTGCCCTAGCCGGTGTTGCTCAGTGAATAGCGCATTGGCCTGCAGACTGAAGGGTCCCAGGTTCAGTTCCGGTCAAGGGCACATGCCTGGGTTTCAGGCTCAATCCCGGGGGGCGGGGGGTGCAGGATGCAGCCAAACAATGATTTTTCTCACATCATTGATGTTTCTCTCTCTCTCTCTCTCTCTCTCCCTTCCTCTCTGAAATCAATAAAGTATATTAAAAAAAAAAGGAGGGTGAGAACCAAGAAAAATGAGGTTAAATCCACCTCCCTCCAAAATGCCCTCGTTGAGCACCTTATCCAACTACTAACATGCCACTCCATGTTGGAGTGGGTGGTGGCTAGAGCTCAGCTTTGCATCAGCTAGTTCCTGGCATGTCACTTGATCTCACTAAAGCTGGGTCATTGTGGGATACATTAGGTAAGAAATAAATGGAGAACTCAGAGGGACTGTCACTCTCTAACAGCACATTACTAATGACTTGTCAGGACAGGGTCTGAATAAACTGGAGGGAAGACAAGTCTGAATGCAACAGGTGGAATGAGGCAGTTCTGATTCTGGGAAATGACTGTATTTGAACTTCTGATTTCAGGTCCGACTGCAGACGCAGCCCCCGAGTCTGCCTGGACAGCCTCCCATGTATTCTGGGACCTTTGACTGTTTCCGGAAGACTCTTATGAGAGAGGTATTGTATGTTGGTGCTGGGCAGTCCTACTCGGAGGAACACATTCACCGGGTGGGCTTGTGACCCCCAGGGTAGTTTACTTTGTGTAGTTCTGCTGGGGGTCTAGCCCACAGCGGGGCCCCTCTTACCATGCCATCCTATGCCCTCCTATTGGCATCGCTCTGGAGTCTTTGCTAGTTCCGGTTCCAGTTTTATATGGATGACTAAAGCATACTTGGAAGGCAGGATTTGGAGCACAGGAAATAAATGAGGAGTAATTGGAGTGGGAGAAAATTGTGCCGCGCCAGCACGGCCATGGGTGAACCTGGGGGTGCGGAGGGGGCGGTGAGGGATTAAAGAAGACAGACAAGAGAATAAAGCTGGGTCTGGGTGGGACGCTGCCCTCTCATTAGAGAAGTGCCACGGGCAAGCCGAGTCTTTGTTTTATAGCAGATTCCACGAGGCAAAGTCAGGGCGTGGTCAAGAAGTTTACCACGTTCTCAAGGGTTTCGAATCTTAGTTACACGCACCTGAACTCTATCAAGCCCACATCACTCAGCTTCCTGGGACCACAAGTTCGTACCATAAGGTCAAGCTCACAACCACAGCCTTTGGCTATAACTGTGCTGGGACTTGCACGTGGCTTTGCCAGGAGAGGACCGTGCCCTCTCATTAGTCTGAGGCTTGAACCTGTCCAAACGCTGTAGCCGCTCTCCACAGAAAATACAAATCTGGTCAGTCAGTTTGATGGGGAATCGGTGGCAGACGTTTAGGTAAAGTCTGGAGGAGAAGTTGAGTCTGAGGAACAGTGAGAGAGGCCCGCAGTCTGCACACCCCCAGACAAGTGCACTAAATTGGTTTGGGGTTATCGGATTACATAATTTTCCAGATACTACTTAGAGTGAAAACATGGAATTTTTAAAAAGCTTTATTTTTTAAATATTTCACTTTTGCCCTAGCAGGTTTGGCTCAGTGGATAGAGCGTCAGCCTGTGGACTGAAGGGTCCTGGGTTTGATTCAGGCCAAGGACACATGCCCAGGTTGCGGGCTCAGTTGCCAGTGGGAGACCGGAGAGCGAGCAAGAGGCAGCCAGTCAATGATTCGCTCTCTCTTCCTTTCCCTTCCTCTCTGATATCAATAAAAATAATATTTTTTAAAATTTCACTTTTTTAAAATCTTTGTTGTTGAGAGTATTTAAAAAGTTTTAATTACTAGTGACATTTATACTCACTTCATTAGCACACGTTTAAAAAGAACTTGTTGAAAATCTTTCTCTTCCTTTGCTTCCTAAAATATAACTCTCACATGAATAAATGCCCTATTAAATATGTAGAAACTGAGAAGCAGGTGTCACCCAGATGAAGAGGGGATTCCACTGGTTAGTGGAGACAGCCTTGGGGAGAAGTCGTTCCGGGCTCCTGCAGGACCGGGATGGGAGGGGGAGTTTGCTCCTCGGTCTGCTCCGAGTCCTCTGCCCTGTGGAAGGAAGAGGCCAGTTTACACGCCCCGTGGGCAACAACGGTATTGAACACTGTTTAGTGCGGGCCATGTGCGGTTGCCGGGGGCCTGGTGAGAATGGCTGTGTAAACCCCATCCCCTGCAGAGCTGACTAGACTTCCTGACTCCACCTTGGCGTGTGTCCCTGGTTTTCCTTGTACCAGACGTGGCTTCCTGCTTCCCCGAGCTGCCAGGGGAAGAGAGGTCTTGGTTGTGCTGCCTGGGTCTGGGTGGGCCAGCATGGCGGAAGGAAGGCTGGAGCTGTCAGGGGGCTGGGCGTGGCCCCTCAGGACCTGAGCATCCTGCCCAGCCAGGTGGAGAGCCGGAGAGGGGCTTTGGAAGGACTCTGTCCCCACGGCTTTGTAGCTCCTCCTCCGTTCACCCTTTCCTGTTTCCTGCCTCCAGCGTCCGCTTCCAGCCTGTAGTAGCCTTTGACCTTGGCAGGAGCCAAATGTGCCGACTGGTGCACTTGTGCCCCGTTAGCTCTGGAAAGTCGGGGGGTTGTGGACCCTCCCGCGGCAGCCCACTCTGTTACTGCTGCCCCTCCATAAGGAGCAACTGCTACATTCCTTGTGTTTGTTTTAGAAATTATTTTGTATGAAAGTGATACAAGCACTGAGTTGTTACCGAAAGGCTTATAACAAAGCAACAAAGCGCTGTGTCGCTGTTTCTATGGAGCTACACAATACACGTTTACTGCTCCGGTTCACACATTGTCATGTTTTGTCTCCCTATTTGTGGTAGACAATTCTAACTCTTACATTACCTCTCCCCTCTTACTTTGTGATTTAATCCAATTCACTGTTTCTATGATTGCAACTATATGTACATATATGCTGCTTTCTTCCGTTAAGCGCTGTGTCGCTGTTTCTATGGAGCTACACAATACACGTTTACTGCTCCGGTTCACACATTGTCATGTTTTGTCTCCCTATTTGTGGTAGACGATTCTAACTCTTACATTACCTCTCCCCTCTTACTTTGTGATTTAATCCAATTCACTGTTTCTATGATTGCAACTATATGTACATATATGCTGCTTTCTTCTGTTGAGTAACGTGCATCCATTTATTGTGCAACTCTGTGTTTTTCCTGAGGTCGGGTTGATCATCATGTCCGTTTTCAGTCGCTTGTGTTTCTGTCCGTGGCTGTCTCCGCCACCCTGTACCCTAAATTACCCTAAATGCTCCCCGGGTGCCGTCCGGTTCCCGCACGCCGGGCAGTGGGAGTGCTGTTCCGTGTGTGTGGTTCTGCAGGTTTCCTTGGAGACAGCCTCTGGCGCCCTCCCTGCGTGCACTCCCCTTGGACGGGCTTCCTCTCGGGAAGTCCCCGCGCGCTCAGGCTGACCGCTGCTCTCCCAGGTCCGGGCCGTCCCTTCCCTGGTTCACTGCCCTCGTTTGGTCGGGATGTCTGTCTCTTCGTCATACTGTCTGCCTGAAGCTGCTACCTCCTTGCTTTCATACCAAACCATGCTGGTGAAAACGGGTGTGCGGTCCTACTGTTGTTTTTAACAATGAAAATCCCATGTCTTCACACTTGGAAAATACAAAATTTCTTCATCACCTGTAATCTCACACCAAGGAAGTCACATCGAATTGTACTTCCTGTTTTATAGCTTTGTTTTCACTTGGTCTCTTCATGTTACCGTGTGATTTCATGAGCGTGTGGCAGTCTGTTTATGGAATTTCTACACTTTGTCTCATTTATCTCCTATTTGGGAGCTTTTAGATTCATTCCAAAATGTTGGTACCTTATAAGTGCCTGATGGTATTATTATTATTTTACATCTTTGAGTATTTACTTAGCATACATTTCTGGACAGCATTTCCTGGTAAAAGGTTTGGTACTGCCAGGTTTTCTTCCAGAATGGACACTGTTTTCCATTTTCTCCAACAGTACATTAAGTACAATTATTTCTCTCTTTTAAAAATACTTTTTATTGATTTTGAGAGAGAGAGGAAAGGAGAGGGAGAGAGAAAGAGAGAGAAAGAGAGAGAGCGAGAGAGAAGCATTGATGTGGGAGGGACTTTCGTATTTGTTTTTAAAATCATGCCTTCCCCATGCTCCCTATCGGGGATCGAGCCTGCAGCTCGGGCATGTGCCCTGACTGGGAATCCCCCCAGAGCCCTTTTGGTGCTCGGAACGACGCCCAACCAACCGAGTCCCACTGGCCACGGCCAAGAGGACAACTATTTCTGATAAATGTGGGGTTTTCTCCCTTTTAAAACCTCTCCTTGCTTAGCGGAGAGGTGAGGAAGGAGGCCTCGGTGTGAAGGGCGGGGTGTCTACAAACAGCTTCTGCTTCCTTGCAGGGCGTCAGGGGGCTGTATCGAGGCATGGCCGCCCCCATCATCGGGGTCACCCCCATGTTCGCCGTGTGCTTCTTTGGGTTTGGTTTGGGGAAGAAACTGCAACAGAAACACCCAGAAGACGTGCTCAGGTGAGTGCTCACAGGCCTGGAGCCCCTGATGCTGCGCTGCTGTGGTGACCGGGTTAAAGGAGAGAACCGTGGCTGGCAGGATGGCTGCCCACCTGGGCCCCGGCGCTGCCCTGGAAGGGCCACACGGGGGAGCCGCTTACATGTCCTCTGCCCCGCGAACCTAAAGGGAAAAGCACCCCTCCTTCCTCGCCAGGTTGTCCAGTTCCTTCTGTAAAGTAGTGTTGCTCTCACCCGGGACAGTACTGATACCAGCCCTGCGGGCGGGCGGGCAGGCGGGCGGGCGCTGTGAGGTCTGCTCGCTCACGTGGGG